TATTGTTCCCAGCATCCAGGGAGTCCTTCCTTCTCATCAGGTGGCCAAAGTACTTGAGTTTCAGCTTCAGGATCTGGCCTTCAAAGAGCAGTCAGGGTTGATCTCCTCTAGGACTGACTGGTTTGATCTCCTTGCAGTCCAAGGGACTCGCAGGAGTCTTCTCTCCAGCACCACAATTCAAAGGCCTCTATTCTTCAGCGCTCAGCCTTCCTTATGGTTCAGCTTTGAAAGACATACATTGCAACTGGGAAAACCATAGCCTTGATTTTGTTGGCAGGGTGATGTCTCTGCTTAATAGCTGAGGAAAGAAGGGAAGCAAAAGGCAAGAGAACAAGTGTAAGATACACCCAATTGAATGCAGAATTCCAGAAAAAAAGTTAAAAGACATCAGAATGCCTTCTTAAATGAACAGTGTGAAGAACAGAGCAATAGAATAGGAAGGACCAGAGATCTCTTCAAGAAAAATTGGAGATATGAAGGGAACGTTTCATGCAAAGATGGGCATGATAAAGGACCAAAATGGCAGGGACCTAACAGAGGCAGAGCAGATTAAGAACAGGTGACAAGATTACACAGAAGAACTATACAAGAAAGAGCTTGACGTCCCTGATAACCGCGATGGGTGGTCACTGACCTCGAGCCAGACATCCTGGAATGTGAAGTCAAGTGGGCCTTAGGAAGTCTGAGCAACAACAAAGCTAGTGGAGGCGACAGTATTCCAGCTGAGCTATTCATAATTTTGCTTCCCTTCTTTCCTCAGCTATTTGTAAAGCTTCCCCAGACAGCCATTGTGCTTTCTTCCATTTCTTTTTCTTTGGGATGGTTTTAGGGTTCTTGTACAATGTATCTCTTGCACAATCTCTTGTATCTCTGGTACGATGTTGCGAACCTCCATTCATAGTTCTTCAGGCACTCTGTCTGTCAGATCTAATTCCTTAAATCTATTTGTCACCTCTACTGTATATTCATCCGGGATATGATTCAGGTCATACCTGAGTGGCCTGGTGCTTTTCCCCACTTTCTTTAGTTTAAGCCTGAATTTTGCAACAAGAAGCTCATGATCTGAGCCACAGTCGGCTCCTGGTCCAGTTTTTACTGACTGTTTAGAGCTTCTCCATCTTTGGCTGCAGAGCACATAGTCATTCTGATTTCTGTGTTCACTGTCTGATGTCCATGTGTAGAGTCATCTCTTGGGTTGTTGGAAAAGTGTTTGCTATGACCACCGTATTCTCTTGATAAAATTCTACCAGCCTGTGCCCTGATTCATTTTGTACTCCAAGGCCAAACTTGCCTGTTATTCTGGTTATCTTTTGGCTTCCTACTTTAGCATTCCAATTCCCCATGATGATAAGGACATCATTTTTTGGGTGTTAATTCTAGAAGGTGTTGTAGGCCTTCATAGAACTGGTCAGCTTCAGCCTCTTCAGCACCAGTGGTTGGGGCATAGACTTGGGCTACAGTGATGTTGAATGGTTTGCCTTGGATTCGAACTGAGATCATTCTGTCATTTTGGAGATTGTATCCCAGTACTGCTTTTCCTGCTCTTTTATTGACTATGAAGGCTACTCCATTTCTTCTGAGGGATTCTTGCCTGCAGTAGTATACCTGATGGTCCTCTGAATTAAATTCACCCATTCCTGTCCATTTCAGTTCACTGATTCCTAAGATGTCGATGTTCAGTCTTGTCATCTCGATTGACCACATCCAGCTTGCCTTGATTCATGGGTCTTACATTCCAGGTTCCTATGGAGTATAGATCTTTGCAGCATCGGACTCTCCTTTCACCACCAGATGCATCCGCAACTGCGTGTCCTTTCGGCTTTGACCCAGTCGCTTCACTCTTTCTGGCGCTACTAGTACTAGCCCTCTGCTCTTCCCCAGAAGCATATTGGACACCTTCCGACCTGAGGGGCTCATCTTCCGGCGTCATATCTCTTTGCCTTTTGGTACTGTCCGTGGGGTTTTCATGGCAAGGGTACTGGAGTGGGTTGCCATTTCCTTCTCCAGTGGATCACGTTTTGTCAGAGCTCTCTGCTATGACCTGTCCATCTTGAGTGGCCCTGCACAGCATAGCTCATAGCTTCATTGAGCTACGGAAGCCCCTTCGCCACGACAAGGCAGTGAAGGGGCCAGGAAATGTGCAAGAGAATAATTTGAAAATCACACAAGGAACATGCAAGCTTGCAGGATACCTCACTATTTCTCTGAGAAGCTATTCGTTGGGATGGGCCATACAGAGCACTGAGAAAAGATGACATCCAGCCCCTGGCTTGCAGCATTCCTTCAGAGCAAATATCCTGGGTTCAGAGGAAAGGGTGCATGAAAATCTCACATGCACTCCAGGGCAGCGAAGGTGAGCAGCCATGGTGACAGTGACATTTGCATACATTCTTGCACTCTTCAGGTTCACGCCATTTACCCAGTTGGGGAAATGTTCTCCAAAAATAGCTCTTTTGCAGAGAGCCGTTGGAGGAGGGAAAAGGACGTGTGTTCCCATTCCTGGGCAAAGAATCTGCAGGCACACAGTCAAGATGGCCTGGTGATGACAAGCCACCACACAACTTCCATGAGACTTTCTTTCAAGGAATGAATGCCATGATGCCCATAAAGTGGCAGAAGAGGCTACTGGGATCCAGGGACTCCATGATGGGAGTGTTCCTGGATTCAGTCCCTGCCTTCGGGAGCAGCTGCCAGTCAGAGCATCTGAGACGGGGCGAAAAAAATAACTGTCCCTGGGATGCAGCAGCTTCCTACGAAATGCACAGGCTGGTCTTTGTCTTCTTTTCCTCTATTTAGTAATGTAGACTAGAAACACTTTTTAAAATAGAGAGGAAAGCAATGGCAGCTGTTCGGCCTGGTGAAAGCAGCTTCAGTCTTGCCAGATGTTTTGCCCTACAGCTTCCATTTGCTTTTTGCTACAGGCCAGACGGCGGGGAGTTGAAGGATGCTTAGCTTTCCTTTTTAATATAAGAAGTGTGTATTTCTTATGACTGAGGAAGGAAAACCAAGGAGTGTTACTAGCCCTCATTAGTTAATGAAAGGAAAAAATGAGGCATCCATGTCAGGCTGTCCTAAAGGGGAAGGGATCTGGCTCAACAGATCATGTCCCTGGCCAAAGGTGGACCTAGAGTTTTGGTGCCCGAGGCTAAAAAATCCAAGATATACAATTTTGCAGAACATCCCCCTGAGCAACAGGACTGAAGTGGCAGGTTTCCTGTCCAGGTCTGTCTGCTCACAACAGCACCACTGACTCACCTGTGGCTCAGGGAGGTTGGACTACACTTCCCATCAGTCTTCACTTGGCAGCCAATGGCAAAGGGAGTTGTAAGGTACAGTTCAACAACTATATGCATGTGGACAGCTAAATTCCAGAAAGGCAGATGGCAAAGAAAAGGTTTCCCACACCATGAGGTGTAGAGTCTCAGGTCAGTCGCTGGATTCATACCATCCCTAACTGACCTTATGCTGGGACACAGAGCAGAGGTGTGCAAGCATCTGAGGGTCCAAACCAGGCCACAGAGCACCCGCTGTGCAGGCAAAGGCCCCCAGTTTGATCTGCAGCTTAGCCAGGAAAAAGCTTATCTCAGGCTGGGAAAGGCCTTAGGAGAGAAGCTGTTGTGCCCCCCCACCCCCGCACAACACTTTGCACATTCAGATGGCATTTAGGTGTCTCTCCGGCCTCCTGAACTGAAGCACATGGATGTGGACACAGCACCCTTCCCACGCTGCCTCTCTGCTCAGGTCAGAACAGGTGGACAATGAAACAGATCAGGGGCAAGACTCGGCCTCAAGTTCCTGGATCCCCAAGGCCAGCCCAAGGGCGCACTTATCCTGGCAACTGCCATCTCCAGTCTGTCCAGGAGCTGATAAAGACCCCAGCACACCTGAGGTGGGGGGGGGCTTCCTGCTTCCCCAGGATGCCTTGTCCCAGGGAGTAAGGCCTTCTGCTTTGCACAGAACTGGGGTGTGGCTGGCCAAACCTCGAAGTGTGTGCATGTGTGAAGCCATCCACTGAGACCCTTAAAATGCCAATTCAGACGTTCTTCGGGGGAACTCCACCCACCTGCACAACTCAGGGGCTGCACGGAGGAAGCCGCCCGTTTCTCCCTGCTGGAAACCGACCGTGTTTTTCTGTTCCCCCACACTGAGGGATATTTCTTCCCCAAGTTTGCTCCTGAACACAGGAGGCTGCCTTCCAAGCGCACAAAGCGAGGAGGGCCAGGCGTCCGTCCTCTGCCGAACGCGAACCCCTCTTCGGGGGCCGGCGAGATCGCAGTCACGGATCTCCCTCTGGCGTGCCACCAAGCAGCGCGTGATCCAAGAGGCGCACACCGGAATCCCGCGCACGGGACAGAAAAACGCCCCAGGGCCAACCTCTGCACGACACAACCAAGCGTAGGAGCACGCTCTGGGGAAAGCCGTGTCCCCAGCGCGGCTTCTGACGTTTCGAGGAAGCGAGACAAGTTTCACGCTTGCAGGGAAAGCTGGCCACGGCCTACCTCGCTCACGGCTGGGCTGCAACAGCGCGCCACCGGAGCCCTGTAGCAGCGACATCCAGCCACGCTCCCAGCTCGCGGGTAGTGGGCCACGCGCTTTGGCGCTGCCAGCCGCGACGAGCCCCGTCTGATCTTCCCTGGCAACGGCGCCGAAAGCGGGCCCCAAGGCAGATCGCCTGCTGCAGCGCAAACGCGGCAGCAGTGGGATGGGGGGAGCCCGCCCCCTCCGCCTCGCCCGGGCCCCGGAACCAGCCGCCTCCTCAGCCTCGCCCGGGAGCCTTCGCTGCCAGGGCCTGTTCCGCTCCGGCGAGGAAGCAACGCGCCGCGCCTTTCTCGGACGCTCCCCGCCGCAGATGGGCCTGCGGGGGGGGGGTGCGCGGAGCCGGCCGCCTCCCCAAGCCCCCGAAGGCTTTCCGCGCAGGCGGGACGTCCCCCGCGCAGGCGAGCCAACCAGAAGGAAGGCGCTTTCCGGCCGCGGCCCTGTGGCGCCCGCACCCGCCGTACCTGCAGGTGTAACTGAGGTTCCTCCGGATGCTGCGCTTGAAGAAGCTCTTGCAGCCCTCGCAGGTAAAGACGCCGTAGTGCTTCCCGCTGGACTTGTCGCCACACACCACGCAGTCCACCTGGATGCCCGGCTTGTCCTCGTCGCCGTGCTCAGGGTCGCTGGCGCCGCCTTGGGGGGACGCCGAGTCGTCCTCGGAGCTCCGGGGGTAGCCCTTCTCCACCCCATTGGTGTCGCCGTTCGGGTCTCCCCACCCGCCGGCCACCATGGCCATAGCGCCTCGGGCTGCGGGGAGAGAGGAAGCGGTGGTCCCTTCCCGTACGCCCGAGACGGCGGCGAGGGTGCCGTTGGGGGCTGCCGGAGCGCTCGTCTTGCAACCCCGGCGCTGCGCAAGCGACGCGGGAGGAGAATCCGGCCGTGGAGAGGCGGCGGCCGGCCGCGGGGCCCGGCTGCGGAGAGGGGGCACGGAGTTAAAGTTAAAGCGAGGTCACTTCAGGCTGAATATGGCTAATAATTAAGGGGGCCTCCGCGGCGCGCCAGCCGAAAGCGGTAGGCGAAAGAGCGGTCACGACGACCCCTCCCCAAAGTTCGGATTCAAAAACGCAGGAGGCCGGAGCGCGGGCGCCTCCCCAGAGGTGCCGGGGGAGCGTCGCGAGTTGCCTCGCCTTCCGCGCGGGGCCCTCCTGACTTCGCCCCCGCGCGCCTCGCCGCGCAGCTCGCCAAGTTAGGCAAGTTGCCCTCTCCGCCGGGTCGGGGCCAGGAGCGGCGCGGGCAGGGCGCGGGCCGCGGCGCGCTTGGGCGAGTCCAGGGCGCCCTGGGTGGCCATGGCGCGCGCGAGAGATGCGGGGTCCGGCGGGGGCGCACGGCGGGGGCAGGCGCGTTCGGGACGCGGCGGCAACTCCCGCTCAGCGCATCGCGGCGGCGGCAGCGCGGGAGCAAAGTTCAGGCCCCGGCGACGACTCCGGGCTGCCGCCGCCGCCACGGCCGCCGCTCGCTCGCTCCTCCCTCGCCGGCCCTCCCCTTCCGCCAGCTCGCCCGCCCAGGCCGCCTCCCTGCCTCCCTGCCTCCCTCCCCTCTCCGCGTCCGCTCGGGCAGCCTCCGGCGAAGGCCGCTCCTGTCCCTGATCCAGGGGCACCTCTGAGCGCGTGCAGAGGTCATCAGGCTTGCTTCCCCGGGTGGAGGGAAAGAGAGGGGGCCTTTGAGCATCCTCCTTTCTACTCCGGCTTCGGTTCGAACTGGCCTTTGGGTTAGCGAATGAAGAGTGGAGTCTCTGGACGCATGCAGAGTGCCCCTCTCTCGCTTTCTCTAGGCCACAAGTCAAGCCTTTCCACATACACAGGACGAGTGCCTCTGAACGGATCTAGAGTGCTTTCTTCCTCTCTTCCCTGGCTTTCTTGCAAATTCATTTTTGGGTCAGGGCAAAATAGAGCCACTGAACTTGTGCAGATGGGGTTTTGGTTTTATTTCAGCTTTCCTTTTGGCAGGGGAAGAGAGGTGCAGCCACACCGACTTTTTTCAGTGCAACTCACTGGGCTGGGAGGGCGCTGAACAGGCCTTCTCTCTGACTTTGCTTTCTGTAAGCCAGGACCCTCCATGTGAGGAGGAAAAGGGCGTGAAGAGGACCTGCGTTCCTTCAGCTTCACATTTTGGGTGGGGAGAAAGCATGTTTTCTGAGCTCATGCAGAAGGCTGCCTCCCTTGCTTCCTTTCAATTTAACATTCCTGGTGGGGAGGGGCCCTCTGGCCTTCTTTTGGGCACACCAAGGTTTTATTGGAAACCCCCACAGAACTGAATGCAGATGGAATGTGTGTAGGTTTCAACATGGGGGGGGGGTGTGCTTTGCATTCACTCATGTGGCTCGCCCTCATGCACCTTTTTATGCTGGCAAGAACCCTGAAAGGTGGGCCAGGAATGCCCACGTCTGTCTTCCCCAGAACTGTGATGCTGTGCTCTAGCCCAGCACCCTTGGCTGTATTCCATCAGCCCAGGAGGCACCTGAGAAAGGAAAGCAGGAGAGCCTGTGAACATAGCTCGGGTGAGGCTGGATCCAGGCTGCGTCATACTGAGTAGATCCAGGGAGAGCAATGGTCTGAGGCTCAGCCACAGCTGATGGGCATGCCATGGCTCAGCAGAACTTAGAATGCTGAGTAGGATTCTGGTTGGATCGTACCCTCTTGCTTGCTTTCTACCAGCATGGAAGTCACAGTCAGAGTAGTTTATTTTTACAGTGTGGATTGTTGCGAATGGAGCTGCAGATCAACTCAGAGAGGCATTGCCCCAGCTCCCCCCCGCCCGCCCCCAGCCAAGGAAGGGCAGGCAGGCACCCATCAAGGACCCCCTTCTAGCTGTTCTAGTGATTGCTGTTTTCACTGCCTTCAGGCAGATGGGCCTTAATGGCCCATTCTAGGGCAAGAGCTGCAAGCAAAGCCCTTTGCATGCAGAGGGAAACAATCTATTGTTGATGCAAAGGGAACAAGGAAGTTGTGAGGAGGAGAACAGAGGCCCAGCTGCACAGGGGTGGTGTGCAGACTGCAGTTGGGGCGGGGGCGGGGGGGGCAACTCTGGGTGGGCCTTCCGCAACAACCCAGAAATTTAAACTTGCCTGTCAGGCTTCACAGCCCAGGGAACCAGACAGACAAGAAACCCTGAGGGGTTGGGACATCCAAACCAGGTCAAAAGTGGCAGCTTTAAAAAATTAAAATCCCAAGTTTTGTCCTCTAAGAGCCTCTATTGAAGGTGTGAACCTCTGTGGGAAGAAATAAATTTAAGGATGTGAGCACTGCTAGCTGGACCATGCTGGGAGCAGCAAGGATTGTGTCCTAAATGAAATAACATTTATTTTGAATGCAGGAGGTTAATCAGCTAAAGGGGGAAGTTGATAGAGTAAAAATGGTCAAAATTGGCTGGGAGGACTGGGATCAAAAAGAGAGGAAATGGAACTGGTTCTTCCCCCCAGAGAAATCTAGTTTGGATCCAGGAGGGGTACAATGAAGAGGATTAGATAGGCTGCTAAACGTACTTTTTTCATTTTGGACACCGTACCACCATTGCTAAAGGAAGATGTTTCATGAGACAGAGTCACTCTGTTCATTATTATTTTTACTTGTAACAGCTCTACTTGGGGTACCATGGAAAAATGCTCCAGGCTGAGACACTTTAAAAAGGACCTTTAGACTCCACAGAGTGGGAGTGAAACAAGAGCAATAAGCTAGTACAGAGATCATGAGGCCTAACTACTTATTTTAAAAGTGGTGTTGCACTGGAAGCTGCCCTAAACCTGATGGCGTCCCATAGGGGCATCATTCGATGGCGGGGCGAGTCCCCTTCCCAGTGTCTTGAGCATCCATTTATGCCAAAGAAAGTTTTTTTCCCTAGCTTAACTGTTCTGCAAATTCCAGACTCCCCACCCCCCATGATTTAGTGCTAATTATAAGGGAGGAGGGGCTACTGGGATAGACATGAATTCATTAAGGAATTTATTTGAGAAGATTTGGAGGAGGCCTCTGTGAACAGGCTTTGCTTTCTGCAACATTTCAATAAATCCTAGCAATTATTTCAAGATCTGCACCTACAGATTGGGCCGCACATCTAGAGATTTTCTTGAGAGGGGTGTCCGGGGCTGCCCTGGAATTGTTCGAGTGCCTAGCAACACCGGGGGGTTCCTCAGGAACTTGCATGCGGCAGGCCTTGCACACTTCGGGTCTGTGAGGCAAAGCTTGGTGGGACAGGACCCAGCAGGGTAAAAGGAAGTTGCCCTGGGAATGCGGCCAGGGCATGGAACTGAGCCGAGAAGGGTTTCTGGTCAGTGTGACGCGTTGTGCTTTCTCCTAGTGGTAATCCATTAGTGCCTTTTCTCATCAGGAACGGACGTTTCCTCTTCCTGCTGGTCAGACAAGTGCAGACACACCAAGGGCATCCCAAGGGGAAGGGGGCCGTGCCCACCGTCCATCCAGCCGCCTGGTCCCCTCTGTGGAATCATTCTGCCAGATCCGCTTTGCATGCAGACACACAAAGTTGTAGTGCAGGGTGTTAACGATTAACAGGCCAGGCAAATACATGCTGATAGGGCAGAAGCAATCACCCCTTTAACTTGGCCAGGTCCCACAGGGAGGGGGTGTGGTTGGCTTCTAGTTCCTTATTAACAAAGGTTTGTCCTGGCAAGCCCAACATCCGTCCAGGGCCTGTGAACAGGGCTTCCCCTTGTGACTGCCTTATGGGGCATTGCCGAGGGTCTTCAGAGACTTTGGACTGCCAGACCCGAGTGCCCTGACCTTGGAGAGGGGAATCTGCAATGTCTTCCTCCCCTCCTTGCAGGCAATGCAGAAATGACCGGGCTGGCTGCATCTCTGAGATCGATCAGAAGAGAGGACAGGAAGGGAAAGAGACTGAAAAGACTGGGATATCTGGAACCAGTTCTAGCCTTTTCTTCCGTCTATGAATGAAGCACCATTGCTGGATGGGGGGAAAAACCTGTCTAGGAAAACGTCCAGGATGAGGAGATTAAGATGGGCAATGCTGGCCATAGTGCCCAGCACTGGATGATCAGAAGTGCCTGAGTTCAGAGGTTCTGGGTGCAGTGGGTGCTGTCAATAGCATCCCACCCTGAAATGCATCTGCATGTGCTCCCTTCCCCCACTGTTGGTGATCTGGTTTTTTGGCTCGAGTAGTCAATGGAGGGTGTAATCTGGTGCATGTAGAGAAGAAACATCCCTTAATCCTCTGCTTTCCACAGCCAGCTCAGTTTTGTGGGATGTTTAGCCTGTCTAAACACACAGGACTGCAGCCTTGGTGCAATATTTCAATGTGTCTAAGAAGTGCTGGATCATGGAGAAAGCTAGGGAGTTCCAGAAAAACATCGACTTCTGCTTGATTGACTATGCTAAAGCCTTTGATTGTGTGGATCACAGCCAATTGTGGCAAGTTCTTAAAGAGATGGGAGTACCAGACCATCTTATTTGTCTCTTGAGAAACCTATATGCGGGTCAAGAAGCAACAGTGAGAACTGGGCACGGAACCACTGATCGGTTCCAAATTGAGAACGGAGTTCAGCAAGGCTGTATCCTGTCATCCTGCCTATTTAACTTATATGCAGAGCACATCATGAGAAAGGTGGGGCTGGATGAATCACCAGTTGGAATTGAGATTGCTGGGAGAAATATCCACAACCTCAGATATGCAGATGATACCACTCTCATGGCAGAAAGTGAAGAGGAACCAAAGAGCCTCTTGATGCGGGTGAAGGAGGAGAGCACAAAAGTTGGCTTGAAACTCAATATTAAGAAAATGAAGATCATGGCATCTGATCCTCTCACTTCCTGGCAAATAGATGGGGAAGAAATGGAGGTAGTGACAGATTTTATTTTCCTGGGCTCCAAGAGCACCGCAGATGGCGACTGCAGCCAAGAAATTAAAAGACGCTTGCTCCTGGGGAGGAAAGCTATGCCAAGTCTAGACAGCTTACTAAAAAGCAGAGACATCACCCTGCCAACAAAAGTGTGTGTAGTCAAGGCTATGGTTTTCGCAGTTGCAATGTATGGCTGTGAAAGCTGGACCATAAGGAAGGCCGAGCGCCAAAGGATTGAGGCCTTTGAATTGTGGTGCTGGTGGAGACTCCTGTGAGTCCCTTGGACCGCAAGGTGATCAAACCGGTCAGTCCTAGAGGAGATCAACCCTGACTGCTCTTCAGAAGGCCAGATCCTGAAGCTGAAGCTCAAATACTTTGGCCACCTAGTGAGAAGGAAGGACTCCCTGGAGAAGAGCCTAATGCTG